CTCATAGTCCGATGAGATGAGACAGAAATAGGTCACAATAGGAGAGATATCAGGCGCAGGATCAACGGCTTTACGTGCTTTCCGAGGCGCGTGAGTGAAATACGTGACTCCATGTTGCTACTGTGAATTATTTGACAGATAAACCCTAATAAAAATATATACCCACAGATATACCTTGTAACCCGATAACTGATTTTGGCTCGGGATTCGAATCCAGGACCACAAGATCAGCAGTCGTGCTTACTACAACGGGGCAAACCATATAGATATAATCACAGATACGATTTCTTTTTATAAAACAATGTCTGCTGCATTAATACTTTGTTCCATATTTTAATCGTGTATTTTAATCAATACAATTACATACGGTCGAATGCCTTATTTAAATAATGTCGTGATATGAACACACACGTGTTGATTACGTCGGGCGCTAACTCGTTCTTAATTTTAAGATATGTGTCATTAACTCTTTTTTATAAGGCGTTACTGTCATTGTACTATAAATTCCGAATAGATTTTTTTTGAGATACTTAGTTTTTATGGTGGTAATATTTAAAATTTGTGTAGGCACATAAAGATGAATAGGTTAACCACCTCACTGTGACAATGTAAACACGACACGTCATTTTTACAAAGAATACACGTAGTTAAATGTTATTTGGCTTTGAAATTTTTTATGCCAGTACTGAATATTCACCATACATGCACGTTGTACGGGCGTAGCTTTAAATAATGAACTTTTCGGCGAACAAAGTCTCGGCGAATGAACTCGACGGTCGAAGTCGAACTCGAGGACACTATCGGTCTTTCGCAGAATAGTAGAACAATTAATGATTTCTTATAATGATTTCTTATATTTACGCGATAATTTTAATCAATTTAGTAGAACAATTTTTTCTTTATATATTTTTTATAAAATAATAATAATAATAATAATAATTTATTTGACTCTCAATTAACAGGTAACACTTATGTATTATATCTATTTAAAGTTACAAAATTGCATTTCAAAGTTTTAACGTTAACGGCCATACTAGTATAAACTGTGTTACAGCCGTCAGCGTCTTCCACCCTGAGTAGTACAATACAAATACAGTAAAAAATGACAGATTATTTCGCTATATAATACACAACCATGTTAAGTTAAATAATAAAGTTAATTAAGTTAAATAATAATAATAATAAATTTGAAAAAATGAAGAGAAAACTTTCTGATTACCACAAACCAGTGCGCGCACGCGCGCACTGGTTTTGTGTGTGTGTGTGTGTGTGTGTGTGTGTGTGTGTGTGTGTGTGTGTGTGTGTGTGTGTGTGTATGTGTGTGTGTGTAATGTGTGTGTATGCGTGTGTGTGTGTTAGAACTTAAATACTGATTAACTTCTCTGTTTCCAGGTAATTAAGGCTTAGCAACCAATTTAGGATTTTATTTTTACATTTATAAAGGGACAAAGGGTAAATATTGTTTACTTTATTTGCAACGGATGTAATGGATTTAAGAAATAAAAAGTAAGTAAAGATAAAAGAAACGTTACTCTCATGCAGACAGATTTTATACGTGGAAGATTCATGCTGCAGTTATATTAGTAGTATAGTTGGGTCGGCTCGACCTGGGAAGGACCACGCTCTCACAGTATACAGCGTAAAATCGTAGCTGTGTTTCGTATGGTGAGTGTAGAGAACCGGAGACCCTTTTTACTGGACACGAGGCATTCCATCTTAGTCCTCACGGGTGACAACATATCTGCATTTTGATTCATAATCGAGGATAGATGTAGATGTCTATGGGCCACAGCAATCACTTACCATTAGGTGGACTGTGTGCTCGTTTGTCCACCCTATCCTATAAAAAATGGTAAGATTTTCTGCTATATTACGGTAGTTTTAAATTGGTACATAAATTATGCTAGGCCAAACATCCACCAAGCTATTTGAGGTCATACAGAACCTCTCTGTTTGGGTTTCGAGGCCGCGGGTCTACAGTGTCGCAGTTGAGCTTTTCGTCTTTGCACTACGGATTTTTTTTTAAAAAGATGAAAGGAAAAATCCATAAATTTAATTAATCTTCCGCGTTTCTTTAAGTGAGTAATAACTATAAGAGAACTTAAACAAGCAATAAGTATTAAGTAATTTCGTCACAACCTTCGAAAGTCGTTATACAATTTGATTATAAATCTTCATTTAGGATATAAGTTAAAGCAATTCGGCAAAATATTTGTACAAGAGAAATCGAACCAACACCTTTCAGTTCAAAAAGTGAGCGCTTACGTTGCAAAGCTATCTAAAATTCATTTATTGCATGATGTTGACAGTGATTTCCTAAATAGATTCTCGACAATTTATCAACCGTGAGAACAAATATCAATTGGTTTGCAGTAAAACTACATTTGTCGTATTGTGCTAATATTTATAAGATGCCCTTTTAAGTGAAATGATTATTTTTGAAAGTAACTGTAAGTAACTGTGTTGTACAAATAATATTTATAGTCCACCTTGTGCCAGACATCGTGAGAAAAGTTTGTTTTTTATGTTACGTGGAGAGCTATGCTGCATCTATATTATGGATGTAGCACGAATGGGTCGACTCGATCGAAATCTTTTTTCGATTTGCTTTCAGATTCGTACAAAGTACAGATTACAAACGTAACTTACTTTTTATTTCTTAAATCCGTTAGGAAGCAGCAAAGAAACTGAGCACACAGCAGTTTTGCTAGTTTTTGAAAATGGAAAAACTGTCGTTCTTTACTAGTTTGGGTACATTCAACTAATTGTAAATAGTTTTATAGTTCTTATGAAAACAGAAAAAGATTTGATTTTGATTTTATAGTGTGAATTATCGATTCATTGGATCAATTGAGTACTATATATCGATTAAAAAATCGATATTTCGACACAAAAACGATTCTTCGATTAATCCATCTCAGATCGATATGCATACTTTTTAGTTGTTATTAGAAAGACTGCTACCTCTTGATTTGTTTCCCTCTGTTGCCTCACACGACACTCACGTGGTGATATGGAGTAGTGGACATTCTTATACTGTCACTACACGGTTTAATAGCAGTTTTAATTTAGCATATGTTGGATGGTGAATTTGACATCATTATCATCATCAGCAGTGGCAGAAACCTGCCAAAGACCACCGTTGGACTTGGATCTGTCTCATTGCATAGATAATTTGTTATAATCACTAGGCTTTGCAGGTGGAATGACGATCGCAGTACCAGACGTCTCACACCTTTGACTCTGCTGCCCGTCGTCGGTCTGAGTGTTTTACGTTTAGTGTAAACGAGATGGTTATAACGCCATCTATCGGAAGTCATAATCGTTTTCTGGTATTCACCATAGTCGTCAAAATTCGATAAAATCTGTGAAGGATTCTATTTTGCCGACGCCACTCGGCACTAAGCGGTGACTAAGCGTAATACTAAGCGCTCGGGACCTCGGATTCGAATCCCACAAAAAAGTTATTATATAGACTAAAAATAAGACTAATGAAATACAGTTTATGAATGAAATCGCCTCCATGTTTAAAAAAATAACGAAATGTCGATTAAATCAAATTAGTGAGAGGGCTCTAAAGCAATTATAATTTGATTTAAGGGTTTTGTTATCACATATCCTTTTTATGTACTGGCTGTTTCCCGCGACTTCGTCCGCGTTGAATTTATTACGGTTGGATTTCATTGCTTTTAATTTTGAAACCCTGATTCTTTTTCTTAATTAAAAGTAAGCCTAAGTTACTGCTTATAACATCAGCTATCTGCCAATGAAAGTCACGTTAAAATCGGTCCAGAATGCAATCGGCACGCCAGAATCGATATTTTTGCAAAAACAAATAGTTGGTTTCGTATATGTTGTAAGTGTCCCGATGTCTGCGACAATTTAATCATAATCATCATAGAATACTATTATACACAATAGAATTCAACCTTATTTTGCACGAGGGTCAGCGTCGCCGGGAGCACACATATAAGCAATTACGTCGTATTATCACTACTACAAACCCGATGTTGACATTTATACGTGTGAATTGACGTGTTAGTGGCATTTTAGTGGCTACACGGGCTCCGCCCACTCCCCCGTTCTATTATGTATGTATTATAGTATTCTATGATTGTCATCATCATCATTCCAGCCCTTAACAATTCCACTGCTGATCACAAGCTTTCCCCAATGCCACAAAACACGGTCCTGAGTCACCTGCATCCATCGATTCCCATGGCATAATATATTTTTATTTTTAACGAGCGGGTAGCCCAGTTGGGAATCAACAATAAATCACAATCGGAGTTATGCTACTTTTATATGACAGTTTGAAATAAGTTGAACCTTATATGATCTGCGGTTGTTTAATGTTTAAGGCCGTTGTGTTCACTGACAATTGCTTTATTCACTTTACCAACCTTTACAAATATTTAGACGTTTTAATAAGGTAGTTGTAATATTTTTATGTTTTCTAATTTACCTTAGGCGTAGGGAAGTGACGACCCCATCGCCCACTGACGTACCGGTTATGTGACAAAACTTCTACGTCAGCTTAGTCAGTCAGCACCTTGTCAAGAGGTGTTAGTGCCGCGCCTCGGTAAAAATTGAAGGTGCAAAGGCCCGCTTGTGCAAATGGCCTCACCATGAAACGGCGCCGGGTATAGGCGTCTCCCGTTAAATGACGTCCATAGATATGGATGATGGAAAATAGAAAGACGTGCAAAGGGCTGCTGCCTTGAGGTCACCAGGGCGCGTCTGGAGCTGGCGTTGGACGCGACAGCATGCGAACCACCAGCCGAGCGCGAGGTGCTGCACGACCACCCAGCAGCCCCTCGCATCCATCATACCCACCAGCTTGTTTGGTGACGACAGGGTCTTCACGGGCCCAGCAATCGGCACCCGCCACTGGTGGAGTACGCTATATGCGTTGGACAATGTATATGAATAGCAACGCATTTCGGGCGTATTTTAGGGCGAAATGTGGAGAAATTGTAAGTTTTGCCTATGGGGCAAAGATGCATCGACTTTTTGCTGACCTGGAGCTATTTATAACCGTCACCGAGCAAAACCTGGTAGACCGAGTTCGGTATATCTCGCGCTCAAATATATTTGATTTCGCTGAACTCGAACGGCTACGACGTGAGGCTGTTCCCTCATCGGAAGAATATGCTACGGCTGAGGATGCGGCGCCACAAATTGCAGAGCAACCCGCAAACGTGGATGCCGCCGTGAATACCAAAGTTGTGGTTGATTCAAACGATGGTGGAACAGTTGCCCAGGAACTGGAATTAGAGTAAATGAGGAGTACATTGGAAGAGGCGATTGTGCAAACGCACAGTAAGCCTCTCGTAAATCGACCGCGAATTCGCCGCATAACCCTAAGCAAGCGGAATCGGGCTGTTGTGAGAGCTCTGAACCAAATACCCATTTGGAAGCTGGAAGCCATAGCCAGCATAATGCATGAAAGAATTAAATTCCCAACTCCACAAGCTGTTATTTGGACATTATTTAATTCTATTTAATTTTATGAAACAGGTTTTTAATTTTTGTTAAAAGCGGAATTTTTTGACACTTTTAAGTGGATTAAATATCACAAGCTCAAGGTTGTAACCAGAATGGCGTCGTAATAATAACATTAAAAACTACATAGTCTATTATATTTTTATCTATCTTTATAAATTACAAAAAAGTTTCTACCTGTGTTAATACCTATGGTAATACAGTTACAGACTTTGAAAACATCCAACCGATTTTAAAGATTTTTTGTGTGTATGAATGGGTCGCTAGATGGTTTATATTCACATTTGAACCCGGTAGCTGGCGCTGTAGTCGAGATCCAGAAAGTTCTCTTGTTGGTGGATCGCCAGTATATAGGTATATTATAAAAATTACGTGTCACATTGTATATATGTATTTAAATGAGACCACACCTGGAACCCTCTTAAAATCATCATCATCATCATCACAGCCTATAAAAGTCCGCTGCTGAACATAGGCCTCCCCCATAGATTGCCTCATAGGGGAGATTTTGCCATAGTTGACACGCTCGGCGAGCGGGTTGTCAACCGCAGTTTTTTTTATTATTTTAAGCTGTTATCAGGAAGATGCTGATGCTCATCACCTGTTTCAGTTGCCCTCTGTGCCTCTTACGACACCCACGGGACGATATGGGGAAGTGGATATTCTTACACGCCACTACACGGTTACGGATTAAAATAAAAATAAACTGATTAAAACTACTTTTACGGATTTTATCGCGTTTATTTTTACTTTTTATTTACTTTTATTTTTAATTCCCGACGTTTCGGGCGCTTTCCAGCACCCATGATCATGGGGGACTGAGATGACTGACGTCCCAATGTCATTGTTAAACCCGGAGTACCTTCAGCTTTTTTAATTATTGTTTATGGTCCGATCTATGCAAAATGAACTGACTATGTCCTGAGGTCTTGCAGTGGTATGCTTGGGTTTAGTTTTAATTTTATTGATTATAGGATCCCAAGCAGGTGGTAGACCTACCCAGCCTCCTTCTCTATTGAAATTAGGATGTTTTTTAATTTCAATAGCCTCACGTATCATCCTTGGTAGGAATCGGTGTTCTTTCGCGAGGATTTGTGGTCTATCAAATCTGATGTAGTCTGCAGTTTGTGATCATATCCTAGACGGACCCAACCATTACATCAGATTTTCATCATCAGACAAGGCTAGAAATTATTTTTTATTATCTTAGTACTATTTGCGGTACTATTGTATCTACGATTGTTTCGTTTCTGTGTGACCCTTCGTTTGATGTTATCGTGTTAGATTTCCATCAGATAGGTACAGAAGGTTGAAGACGAGTGAGGTCAAATAGGTACAGGGCAGCAAAGTTCAAATATAAATGGTGGAAGAGTTACATTACACAAAAAATAAATAATTTTCTTGCGTGTGATGTAATAGTAAAATTATTATAAGCGATTATTTTCTAGTTTCTTAAAGTCATGACGATTGTCTTTAGCCTCGGTTACATTGCGGTCGACATAATGAGCTGTCGGCCATGAGGTTAACAAGAGTTTTGATTGTACTTTTATGTTACTTGTTGAATGTTTTTTATTCAGTTTTGATATGTGTTATCAAAACTATAGACACTGACACGCGCGTTATTCGTTTAAATAATCAATTATTTCTGCTGTTTTATTTCTTTTCTTTTTATTGTTCAGTATTTTATTCGTTTATTACAGCCTTAAAAATCACTTCTGGACGTAGAACTCCCTTCATAGGGGGAATTTCGCCCTAGTTGCCACGTTTAGAAGGCGGGTGGACAGCCGCGGATTTTTATTATATAGTGTTGTTATCAGGAAGGTTCTGCTGCCCATTTCTTGTTACAGTCACCATCTTTTGTAACAGTATTTGGTTATATATATATATATAACTTAACCAAATACAGAAAGAAATTGACAGTTTACCACATACAGAAGATAATAGTGAATTGACTGGTTTGAACGTAATAAAAAAACTGATTGTAACAAAACACTTCAAAAAAAATAAAAAATAACGCCACTGCTTTTATAGTACAGAGCACACATAGTTCAACAAAAACTAAAACAAATTAATGTTATATACATTGATTATACATACATAGATTCGGCCTTTATCGTAAGTTCAATTTTATAAAAACATTGTTATTTACTACACATCGTGCCGATTTGTCGATCCTTAAAAGATGATAATAGGATGTATAAAATACAAAATGAATAAATTATATCATCATATTTATCATCATCATCATCAACATCAATAATAACAACTTCACAGCCTAATAAAAATCCACTGCTAAACATAGACTTCGGATTATCGTAATGGTGTAACAACACCCTTTTTGTTTATTGAGTTTGAGTTATACAGTGGGTATGCCAGAAGAAGCATAAAAGCAAGTTGAATGCAGTGGAGATGCGATCTCTTCGTAAAATGTGTGGCGTTACCATAGCCGATCGAAAGCAAAACGAAGATATTCGCAATATGGCAGGATTGAAAGATAACCTTATCACAAAAATTGATAGGGGCGTACTCCAATGGTTTGGGCACGTTGAGCGAATGAGTGAAGACCGAATGGTGAAGAAAATATATAGAGCGAAAGTAAATATTAAAAGGTGTAGAGGTAGACCGAGACTAACTTTCGAAGACCATGTGAGCAAATTGCTCGAAGAGGGGAAGGTCAAGAGTACTCGGATACCTAGACGTGCATGTATGAAGAAGTTAATGAACCTGAAAGAAGCGAAAGAGGTATGTAAGGATCGTGACACTTGGCGATCTGTTCTCTCTGGCTACCTCGTTAGGGATTGTGCGTGAAGATAAGTTAGTAAGTAAGTAAAGATATACAGAAAACATGAGCAGTGGAAACAAAATATGTTTACCATAGTAAATGTCAAGGTTGATGTTATGCGGAGCCATATTTACCTGATACAATATTTTGTTCAATTATAATATTAATATTATACATATAATATGTTTTTTTTAAAGGATTAGGGTGGCAAACGTGCTCACAGTCCACCTGATGGTAAGCGGTTGCTGTGGCCCATAGACATCTACATATATCTTCGATTACAAAACAAAACGCTGATGCGTTGTCATCCGTGAGGACTAAAATCGAATGCTTCGATTCCAGTAAAAAGGGTCTCTACGCTCAACATACGAAACGCAGCAGCATTAAGCTTATTATGTGAGAGCGTGGTATTCCGTGGGAGCATGGTTATGGGTGCTACTAATATATCTGCAGTATGGCTCTACTATTTATTTTAAAATCACAATAAATGTGGAATTTTTTCCCTTCTTCCTCTTAGATTGCACAACAGGTTGCCACGCTTAGTAGGCGAGTGGCTTTACTGCTTTGTTTCCCTCTTTTTTTTTTGCGCCCGTGGCAAATATGGGCAACCCTCCGGTAACGGGGGAGGGAGGCGGTGAATGCTCATAGCATACCACGCAGCCGGCTGCGTGGTTATGTGGAGACTTTTAATAACTAAACACCACCTTTTGGGGATCTGACGAGAGATCTTTAAGCCATAAACGGACGCGACCTTCACTGGCAGAAAGGAGGGCGCAAGCGGCGAATAGCCGCTTAGAAGTGTGCCTAAGGCAGATTACGAGATGTAGGGTTGTAGGATTAAGTAGGCTCGGCCTGAGCCGCCAGGAGGCAGTTTAGGTCAGCCGAAAGCTGTTGGGGGTTGTTTCCCTCTATCCGTAGTGGATATTTATAACAAGCGGATTTGGGAACCACTTTTTTATTATTTATAGTTATTATCAGGAAAATATTGTGGTATAAATCTCCTGATTTTCCCTTTGTCGCCTCTTACGACACTGACGAACCCACGATGTGGAATATAATCTATAATGTATAGTGCACGGTCCGAAATGATCTATTTTGATATATTTTCTGAATGAAAAGGTTAATTATATAATTTTACCGAACGCATTCCAGTTAAGTATATTTTAAGCTTGTCTGTTATCATTCTGTTAATGACCAGACGCTCGCTGGGTCTGGACAGACGGGTTTTAATGAATGCGTAGTCCGAAAAGCGGAGCTCATTAACGTTTAAAGTTGATCTTAACTTTGAAACCTTTAATAAAAGTTGTTTAACAAAAGTAAAATATTCATTTAAAGTAATACATAGTACATGACCACAACCATTGGGCAATAGACTTTTAGTAGCTTTGTCGATTTGTGTGTGTTTTGTAAAGCTTAATTTTGAATAAAAATATGTGACAGATTTTTATAGAAATAAAGTTCGTACTGTATCTATATGATTATAAATAATACTTATTGAAAGTCACTTTTTTAATTTACCACTGGTTCGAAAAAAACCTCTGTCCTGAAAAGAACCAGCAAAAAACTTAGCGGGACAATTTTTTTTTGTTATTCTAAGCGTTTTCTTTAAGGAGTGTTACTCTAAGATTTCCATATCACGCACAACCACATTGTAGAATTTATGGTTTTGAGTTGTTAGTGTTTTTGAGTTTTCAAGTCGTTGCGAATGTTTTTTTTAATGAACTGAAGCGGCGAACGAACTACACTTCATCTGATGTAAGGCGACTGAAGTTGATGAAAACCTGGAGGCAGCTTCAAACAAAGAAGTTACGGTAACGTTGTCATCTCTGAGGCCTAAGATGGGATGCCTTATAACTTGTAAATGTGCTTTTTATCTATAGTTTTTAGGCTTAGCACGCACTGCGATTAAACGCACGCGTTTAAACGCACGTCTGAAACCGCAAAAAAATGTAACGCATGGCTTTCCATTCAAGCGCATGCATTAGCGACTTTTTT